TCTTACATTTTACACAGTAGGCTAATCATCTTTTGGGAGATGGTTGGTGGTGTCATGTAGATATGCAGTAAGGTTTCGGAATTTTGATTTTGCCCCGGGGGGTCAAATTGGGGTCGAAAAATGACGTTTTTTATGCAAAAAGCCCCGTCTTCCCTGAACTCCTCTTACATTTTACACAGTAGGCTAATCATCTTTTGGGAGATGGTTGGTGGTGTCATGTAGATGTGCAGTAAGGTTTCGGAATTTTGATTTTGCCCCTGGGGGTCAAATGGGGGTTGAAAAATGACATTTTTTATGCAAAAAGCCCCGTCTTCCCTGAACTCCTCTTACATTTTAAACAGTAGGCTAATCATCTTTTTGGAGATGGTTGGTGGTGTCATGTAGATGTGCAGTAAGGTTTCGGAATTTTGATTTTGCCCCGGGGGGTCAAATGGGGGTTGAAAAATGCATTTTTTATGCAAAAAGCCCCGTCTTCCCTGAACTCCTCTTACATTTTACACAGTAGGCTAATCATCTTTTTGGAGATGGTTGGTGGTGTCATGTAGATGTGCAGTAAGGTTTCGGAACTTTGATTTTGCCCCGGGGGGTCAAATGGAGGTCGAAAAATGACGTTTTTTATGCAAAAAGCCCCATCTTCCCTGAACTCCTCTTACATTTTACACAGTAGGCTAATCATCTTTTGGGAGATGGTTGGTGGTGTCATGTAGATGTGCAGTAAGGTTTCGGAATTTTGATTTTGCCCGGGGGGGTCAAATGGGGGTCGAAAAATGACGTTTTTTATGCAAAAAGCCCCGTCTTCCCTGAACTCCTCTTACATTTTACACAGTAGGCTAATCATCTTTTGGGAGATGGTTGGTGGTGTCATGTAGATATGCAGTAAGGTTTCGGAATGTTGATTTTGCCCCGGGGGGTCAAATGGGGGATCGAAAAATGACGTTTTTTATGCAAAAAGCCCCGTCTTCCCTGAACTCCTCTTACATTTTACACAGTAGGCTAATCATCTTTTTGGAGATGGTTGGTGGTGTCATGTAGATGTGCAGTAAGGTTTCGGAATTTTGATTTTGCCCCGGGGGGTCAAATGGGGGTCGAAAAATGACGTTTTTTATGCAAAAAGCCCCGTCTTCCCTGAACTCCTCTTACATTTTACACAGTAGCCTAATCATCTTTAAGGAGATGGTTTGTTGTGTCATGTTGATGTACAGCAGGGTTTTGGAATTTTGATTTTGCCCTGGGGGGTCAAATGGGGGTCGAAAAATGACGTTTTTTATGCAAAAAGCCCCCTCTTCCCTGAACTCCTCTTACATTTAACACAGTAGGCTAATCATCTTTTAGGAGATGGTTGGTGGTGTCATGTAGATGTGCAGTAAGGTTTCGGAATGTTGATTTTGCCACGGGGGGACTTATGGGGGTCGTAAAATGATGTTTTAAAAATGTCTTAAATCATTTCTTTAAAACTAAGTGAAATACAAATTAAAAAGGATGGAGGTCAAGGTCACAGGAATGTGCCAGGTGAAGTTTTTGATGCAGGTGAGTAGCTTCACTAATACATATCAGCATATTATGTTTGATAAAAATATCTTGAATGATTTAATGAAGCTGAGCTTAACACCTTTTCTAAAAAAGAGAGGTCAAAGGAAAGGTTGGGGCCAAAATGTTGTTGCAGTTGAAAAGCTTACATCAGTATGAATTTACTATTAGCATATGAAGTTTGATAAAACTATAATTAATGGTTTATTTAAAACTAAGATAAACACATAATTTAAAAAGTGAGGTCAAGGTCAAAGGAAAATTCAAGGTCAAAATGAGTTGATGTATTAATAGCTCTCAGCAGTATGTATCAGCATATGAAGTTTGATAAATATATCTTGAATTGTTTATTCAAAACTGATCTAGACATTAATTTTAGAAAAGTGAGGTCAAGGTCACAGGAATGGTCAAGGTAAAAAAAGAGTGACGCATTGTAAAGCTTACATCAGTATGTATCATCATGTGAAGTTTCATTACACAACTTGAACGGTTTCTTTAAAATAAAGCTAAACAGTAATTTAAAGAAAAGTTAAGTGAAGGTCCAAGGAAAAGTCAAAGTCAAAAAATATTGCTGCAGTTGGATATTTACATCAGTATGCATCAACATATGAACTTTGATAAAAATATCTAGAAAGTTTCTTTGAGCCCGATGGAAAGACAGATGGAAGGGTGGAGGACGGACATGACAAAAACTATACATGTATGTATTCCTAATCATGGTGTGGCATAAAAAACTTGAATCTACATTATATGAGGATGTTTCCATCTATCAAGATTATACAAGCAAATTCAAAGAATTGTGGTCCTCTGCTTTCTGTGTTTTAGTGAATGGGATGCCATAATTTATGGCAGATTGTGTGTCAAATATACACCCCTATCATTTGTTAATTTATAAAAATTAGGTCAAAGGGGAAAAAATCATAGCATGCTCTGAAATATTTTGTTGCAGGTAATGTACATGTCAAATATGAAAGTCCTATCTCTTTTGAATCAAAAGTTATATATATATATATAATATAATATTTTGAAAAGTAGGTTAAATTTCTAGGTCAAGGTCACAGAGTCAAAAGTCATGATATATTTAGAAAAGTCTTTTCACATGTAATAAACATGTATAATTTGAATGCCCTTTCTTTTCTCTTTCAAAATGATTAATTTAAAATGTTATTTTTTGGAAAGTAGGTAGAACTTTAAGGTTAAGGTCTCACTTTGTTTAAAAAATCATAGTATATTTAGAAAGTTTTGTGGTAATGTACATGTGAAATATGAAAGCACAATCTCTTATTATTCAAAAGTTATGACCAAGATTAAATTTATTGTGAAAGATGCACATACTAGCTGTAAATAAGATGGGCAGACTGACAGACAAATGAGATTTAATGTCCCCTCCCCTTTCCCCAAAATGGGGGACAATAATGCCCTTGCTGTTCTTGAGAAGAAGATTTATGATGGAAAAAATCCCCTGCATATTTCTTAACGCAAATCAATATTGTGTTTTTATGTCATTTTGTTTGTTGTTAAACATCCCTAGTGACGCGGAGTATATAAAGCAAAACAGGGACAGGGAACCAGGCTAATTCTGGTCTGGAACCCCCCGCCCCCCCCCCCCCCCCCCCTCTCTCTCTCCCTCCCAGAAAAAAAAATTCTGGATCTTGTAACTGAATGTAACGTTGATAACGGGGGATAACTCTTCAGAATGTAAATTCGTCTATTGTAAGTTTAAAGGATCAAAGGTCATCCGATGCTGAACCTAACAACTACTAGTTCAGACTATTTTACCCAAATGTATACCAAAACTTGTACTTACCGATTGTCATTATTTAGGCACTGTTATCTTCATGAAATATAATCCAGTTAAAACACAAAATAAAATAATTCCTACTGACTGTAATGATGCACACTAGTAGCCTACTGCACGTGCAGTGAAATCTAAAATGATAATGCCAGTGGTAAAACTAGTACTTAAGTTGGGTACGTGACGCAAGCCCAATGTGATGCAGGTATTCAGATACATGTATAGTGCAAGAACAAATTGAAAATTATCATTTACAAAAGATGTTTTATTTTAACTTTGCCATCTAGGCCTATTTCCAAAAACAGGCAAATAAGGTGTGTTTGTGTGTGTGTTGATGGGAGAGGGGTCGGGGTTGACTAAATTGATTGTGTATATGGCAGCCTTCAAGAAGTTTCTGCCTAATCAAATATAAATAAACTTTTCAAATTTTGAAAAATTCATCAAAAACATTTTACACTAATTTAAATAATATTATTTGTTGTTAATCTATATGAGAAAATATATTTAAAAGTTCCAATTATGTCCCACCCCCCCCCCCCTTATCAAACCTAATTTACATCATTAATTTAATTCTGTTGTTTAATTTCCGACTGGTAATGAATTAAGAATATGAAATACCTATAAGATGGAGGCCCATGGGTCACATGGTCACTAGCTGAAGATCTGTATAGCGTTATGGTTTTATATATTAGTGTTTGACCATAAAGCTACAGATCCAGTAATGCAAAAAAGGTGCAATTTACGGTGCAATATTTTTTTGCGCACTTCTAGGGAGAATTTCTCCACTTTCCGAGCATCGGTCAATTTACTACCTTTCACCCCCTAATTTTAGGCACATTATTTAACTAATCTGTATATTTTATCCATCTCCAATCCTTTTATAGTCGTCTCTACACGAGATAAACTCACTTGATTAAAATTATTTGTTAGATTGCATAAAATTCATATCAAGCGAGTTTATTGCCTGTAGAGATGACTATAAATGGCTGAGAGGTGGACAAAATATACATTTTGACTACAGAATGTGTCTAAAATTAGGGAGTGAAAGGTAGTTGATTGACCAATGCTAGAAAATGGAGAAATTGTCCATAAGTGCGCAAAAAATATTCGCATCAATTGCACCTTTTTTGCATATGGGGATCTGTAGCGTTATGGTCAAAGACAAATATATAAAACCATAACGCTGCAGATCTGCAGCTACATGGTCACCTGAGCATATTATGCTCAATTTGAAGAATACATGTATTATGTAAATTATTGAATTATATTGACTTTTTTCCGTGGTAAAGCCCAATATGAAGAAGTGTGCATTTAGAGGCAAACACCTAAGTGCGGGTATTACTGTCTCATGACAGCATCTAGTTGAGCTTTGCTCCTATTTTGTATTGTTTTGTGGACTTTTGAGCTTGAATACTATTAGTTATCTCCATATATTTCACAGCAAATAGTCCTATTCGTTCCCAATTCAATATTCAAATTGTCTAATCTACACATGTAGCTTTAATTTTTGAATCTTATATAGGTTTTAGAAATCATTCTGGAATGATTTTATGGTGTTGAATATTTTCTAATATAAATATAAATATATAAGATCAGGCAGAAAAATGAATATATGACCAGTCTTAAAACAATGTTATCAAAATTATCACATATCTGTTGTTGTTGTAGTCAGTTAGCATTACTCATTTGTTTCTACCTGCTTAAGTACCACTTCTTGTTTTTGATAGATGTGATCTTCAGTTTTGCTGTAACTGACCAAGTCGTAGATATCTGCATTAATGTGTGAGTACATGGATTCACATTGCACTCTGTCGGTGTTTAGTACAGCTGAACTTTCTCCTGTTGGCAACATCATTTCTTCAAGTAATTGTTCTTGAGACTGTTGCTGATGTACATTTTGTATAGGAATCTCTGATTCTTTTGAGCTTGGTTTTATTGAATTTACACATTGGGGACCTTCATTGGAGCTATAAACAATATATATCATTGTAATGTATACACTCAGTTGTATACATCTAAAATGTTAAACAACTATATTAGACTTTAAATGATTTTAAAGTTTGTTATTTTTTTTAAATGTCATGTAAGTCTGTAAAAATTTGCATAGTACTTTATCTTTAAGACTATTGTTGTGTTTCATTGATTATTTAAATGTGTATGACATACTTATATTCGTATAAATTTTATAATTATTTTTTCAATTGTGTCTTTTGAAATATATGATGTGTATGGATATATAACGTGTTACATCTCATGATAATGTTTACTTACGCAGAATTGTCTTCTTTATACATTTCTGTAAAAGTGTACAAGTTTAACATGCTGATATTTTTTTTATTGGAAGATACACAAAAACAGCGGCTAAGATAATAAGAAACTTGCAGTTTACTTTGAAAATATTATAATTAAAGCAGTACAGCAGAACATTTTATAAATTGTTTAATTTGTCTCACTACCATTACAATAGAGATATTATGGTTATAGTTGTTGAAAAAGAAATATTTACCTTTGTTACCACCCTTGTTCCATTTTTTCACAAAAATCAAGACTGCCAAAAAGATAAGTGTACCTCCTATAACCATTCCACCAATTCCCAAATAAAATTGCGTTGAACTTCGGTTTGAGCTAATTGTCCCTTTGATATAGATAAAAAAGAAGGTTATAAATGTAAGTTTTTATAATACAAAAGCATTTGGTACATCATGAAAAAAGCAGTACTACAAAAAGTAGTATGTAACTTACAATTGCAATCGTGTGTGTCATTGTTTAGGAAAACCCTTTCCTGAACGGATCCAAATCCACAATCACTTGAAAAGTTAGTTTCACAGATGATCTCTACATTTTTTAGGTTCTTTGACAATTGATAAAGAACACTGCTCTTGAATTTTATTCCAAAAGATGTCTTGAAAATTTCCTCCTTCGGTTTTTCTTGCAAAGGAAGGACTTGAAAGTGTTTGTCTTTCCCTGTTCTGATGCACCACCTGATATGCTGAAAAATTGAATAGCTCAAAACCATCAATATCATTTTTCAATATTGTTACAGACACTTTGCAGCACATACATATTATATTCACTTTATCATGTTTTCTACTCTTCAACTGATCTTATTCCTTTATAGTTATATGCTTATTCTTTTTTTAAAGTATGCTTCTGAGCGAGGAATAAGACATGTCTGAACCTGAGTTGTTTCTGCATGGAAGGTTCCAGTCGTCGTGTAGCATGTCATTGAGAGGAGGGATCTGTCTCCTATAGCATCTTTAGTCACAACAAACGGACCATAGATACTGTTTAACTCTTGCAATGTAAAAATAAAGCATAATGTAAAATGTTATGCAAAAAATTGTCGTATGCATTTATAATGAAAAATGCAATTTAAAAAAAATACCAAAAAAATTCACAAAAACTTGGAGGATCCAAAATCCTCACACATTCACGTTTATTCTAGACCTTACCTTACAGAATGTTGACACTCCTCAACTTTATAAACATTAACAATTACCCCTACCTTCTTCTGCCTGAAGTGTTATGGTCTTTCTATGGCTTCCATTTCCACATTTTGGAAAAGTACCGAGATATCCTGTTTCACAGCTGACTACTGTTTTGAGTTGAGCATCGTGTAGATGAATGAACGCAGATGTTGTTTGGTTACCGATACATTTATCGCCCGAAATCTGCTGTGTCCTGTACATTGCTGGCTCTTGGAGATGAAATGGTTTAGATCTGTGGTAGTCGTTGTGTTGACAAAGTGCTACATTCTTTATTAAAACATTATAATTAATATGAAAGTTTGAAATAAAATGGCATGAGCATAAATACCTTAACTGTTTCTTTCTACTTATGTGCAATAATTGAACTTAAACTGTGTTTAGCCAATTCGTGTTAAAAAAATAACGATTTGTTTGAGCTGCTCTCACAAAAAAAATAATAAAATGAGCGTAATGTTCGAAGTACGATTCTCGCGCTTTACCTGGAAAACTTTTCCATTTCTCATAGGAACTTCCCCTTCACAGATTAACTCGATGAGAGTTCCCGGGGGAAATTTCTGCAAGACCCTATCATTCTCAACGCCTTGATAACGAGTGCGGAAAGATGTAAGTCTCGAAGGTTTTCCTGAAAGAAATACAAAAAAAATTATAAGGATTCTGTTGAAACTTGTGCGTACATTTACACGTAAATACGAATTTAAAATTATTTTTATAATGTATTTTAAATGTTACATAGTAGATAAATATTATCCGTGATGATAAATGAGCAACCTGTTATGGAGATCCCCAATGTTCTTTCTGTCTCCGTTTCATTTGTTTCAACAGAACATGATATCTTTACACGGTCTTTGCATCCATTCGCAGAAAAATTAGCTTTACATTCGGCACTTATCTCATCACTCCTGAATGGACACATTGCAAGAATAACTTTCGTGTTATTTCTCAAGATTCTTCGGATGACAATGTTTGTACTTGAAACATTTGTTGGACTTGAAAACCACTGGCGAGCATTACACTGTACAATATCATTCGGGTAATAAACGCCTAACAATGGATTTTCAAAAGACATGAAATCTAAAAGAAATCAAAGATTGTGTTTTTGTTAAATTTTAAACATTTAAAATTTTCAAGTCCTTATGACAAAGGAATTAATCTGTCAGTATTATATTTAAGGATATGATATCACACGCTTATTTGATTCTTTTAATTTGAATGGAAAAGATTAAAAAGTCAATTATCGACATGATTCAAAGAATTAAAACTTAACAAATCATAATTCTCTTACAGTTTTGTTCGAAAGCCTCAAATAAAAACAATCCATAGGTACAAATCAAACTTGTTGCTAGCAAATACATGATCGAAAAATAAATTGTGAAATGATATCTATTGAAAATTGAAAACTTAAAATAAGGAAGCAAAAGTAATTTCAAATCAACTTAAAAGTCTATAAACTTTAGCCATAATATAATGTCATTAATATCAATAGATCTAGGAAAACTTTGTGCCTGGCTCTGCAGGAAATAGGCGGGTATATAATCAGAGGAATTACTTCCTAAGTTAATTAAATATATTAAAGATTTAGAATTTAAATACCCTCCGAAGTGAACTTTGAAAGTTTTCTTCATTAATCTACAATATACTATTGCAAACCAATTTACATATAATTATTTGATAAAAATTTTCATGTATTAAGTATTTTGAGGTCTTGAAAATAAAAGTGCATTGGATACAAACAAACTTTTGACTAACACCAAAATTTAATGATGCAAACTATTTTTTTATTTAAATATTTATATGATTGTCTTCCTAATAATATAAAAAGTGAACAATCTTTTTTGTAAACATGCTGATATAAGTGATATGAAGATATGCTAAGAAAAATCTCAATTCTTATCCAAATCTACAATGCACAATACATTACGTAATTTGTAAATTAATTATTCGAAAGGGATTATTCTATTTTATTACTTTTGTTTGTAACAAATTAATGAATAACTCATTTCTTGACATCGACTGCTAACAACTATTTTTTAGCACTGGTTTAAATGACTAAACATTAAAAGCACTCCGATTTTACAGGCAGGTACGATGAAGAAAATGATGGTAATTTTTTTTAATCAGCAATTTAAGCCACAGGGCTGAATTAGATTTACCGGTATTAACTTCATGCAGATATGGTTTGATTCTAAGAATAATGTGAACATAATACATAAAAAGAAAAAAATTCAACTTTCTTCAGAAAAGATAGCAAAATATAATAAAGAAATACGCACGCTAACTCTGCGACAGAGAACTATTCCCCGAGGACTTGCCAGAGGGGAATAGTTCCTGTGAAGTGTTTGATAAAAGAGCTATCCCACTCACAACCAGTGGATAAGCGTTTTATTATAATTATATAATTATAATTTAATAAATATAATTTCTGAGTTTTGAAATTTTTATTGGAGTACGATAATACTGCAAGAATAATCTAAAATTCCGATGACGTCACAATGCTACTGAAGTCATTATGACATCATCAGTCAACAGATTCATCGCTGGAAATCAAAATTGGTAGCAAAAATTGCATGAAAATTTTCCGAGGGTGGATAGCAAAACTATACTCCGGGGCTTAGCTTTGCTAAGCGTGAACTATATAAGATAGCTATTTTACGTTCTGAAGTTTATATCGGAAACATTTTGACAGAAGTATAATAATAGGGTATAGATTATATAGAAACAAACTGACAGGAAGCATAATAATTATCTATAAAAAAAAATATTAAAAATTCTTCGAATATGTTAACTTTTGAAAATTGATTTGGAGGTGGGCGGGAGAACAATACTATCGTTCGCACTTCTTTAACTATGAGTTTTCGCCTAAGTAAAACGTAAAAGGACGTATTATAGTTCTTAAACACGAACGCACATCTTATTTACTATGGTTAGATTGGAAAACTGGCGGGCTAAAATCAATTTCGTGATCAAATCAAATTACACAAGTGACAAGCATATATTGTATGTTAAAGACAGTGCGTTTGACCAAAAATTTCACAGAAAGGACATAATTCAAAAATACATTAAATAATTCATCTTTTGGTAAGTTCAGTCTACATATATAACAAACTGATACATTAAGTACTGTTGTAAAAAGAAATTAATTACTTTGTAATGTCTTTCAATGCAAAGTAGGCTCTACTCAACGCGTTCAAATTGACATAAATGCTAAAATAATATTACAACTTATAATTTTTTTAAAAGTTAGCCATTAAATAAACAACTTTACATACAAGAAATGACGAAGACTCATAACTGGTGATTTATAACGTAAAATATGACGTTTGATCCATAAAATGATTGAAGAATACTATACAGGCAAACAAAAATTACAAATGAACAAAAAAGCTTAATATATATACCTGTTGCTCACAAATGATTTTTTGTGAAGAAAAAATCTTTAACAATATCATTCTTCTGAACAACAGATTCGAAAGACTCATATGAGCCAGCCGTTGGCACATGTGATTTACAAATAAAAAAAAGAGATAAATCTAAAAAAAAACCCCACACAATCTGTAATATAAAAAAGGGGATATCGGTATATTTATCATAACCATGAAAAAGTTAAATTGCTCGTAAAGGGAAAAAGGCCTAAGGTCTAAATGTGTAGCCCTCCAACGCTAGTTGATTGCATATCGATATAAATGAAAATTTCTAAAGCTAACAATTGTTTTTTATGAATTTTTCAAGAGATGCTAGTTACTCAATTCCTCTCTGTTTTGGCATTAAATTCATAAAAGGTAATAATCTTTTTATAAAGTCAAACATGGCGTCTAATTCAGTATTAAAAACATGACAAGAAAAGACCTCTTGCATATGCATGCCAAATTACATACATAATTGAGTTTTAAACTTACCATATATAAGATTATTTGCTTAAATCATAGGAATACATAAATGATTATCAGGGCAACACTTTTTAAGGCGTGAAATATCTGTATCCGATCTGTTTTTTTAAAGTGATACCTTGTATTACATGTAAAAATGTTTACTTTGTATCGAACAAAAAATTAGCCTGATTCAAAATATCTGTATTATATTAAATGAAATATGAAAATAATATTAGTGTAAGCAAAATACGAGTTAATTTAAAAGTTTGTTTTAAACACTAATGAAAGCAAAGTTCAATTAAAAAAAGGATTCGGTAGATGGTTTGAAAATGACTTAGAAGTATATACATTTGTATGCTAAATTTTTGTTTTGAAAAGCAGTCACTCGCTTTAATAAATTATTTTCGAGAAGAATTGAACTGATTTTTGTGCTTTTAATCTATGCCTCTTAAAATTTTCCTCATGTTTACACTTCTTCATAAACTTCATCAGTTTGGAGTTTTCCTTCATGAACCTGTGGATCATAATCATGTAATATACTGGTTCATACATATCCCCATCATCACCGCTGCCATTAGTTAATTCATAAACACAGATAGTTGCTCCCCTGTGTGAACTGGGGCAATCGAATAGGTTTCGGCCGCCGGGATTGATATTTGATTCTGATGCTCGTGTCAACTGGATTGTTTCCGGTCAAATTGTATGCATTTGCTTTTGGCATGCTAGATTTATCCGCAGCAGCATTCAAACTGAAATATAGGGCATCAAGTAGGTATATATGGCACGCCGATTGGTTCAAAAGTATTTTCTGCACAACGATAAAGATTTTATACACGAGCTAGATGAAAAAATTACACGAGTTAAATAAAAATGCACGTACAAGTAAAAATTGCACATAGTTTGAAAGATTTTAACACAAACAAAATGAAAAATACACGAACCCGACATTTTTTTCCATGATTTAGGGGTATAATATGCACAAATAAAAATCAAAAATTGCACGAGCAGAGGAAACTAAAAATTACACAAACAATTTTACTGCGCATATCATTATTATGCACATAGAATATTCATGGTGTTCTTGGTTTTCTGTACTCTTTATCGCTTCATGTATACTGAGCTGGATGTAATCGAGAATGGAAATTAAATGGTGTTGACGATGGCATGTGCTTTATTTTGCTTCTTTATTTTCTTGCTACAACTCGATCCAATTTCTAGCTAATGTCAATCGAACAAATGAAGTGTTTCCATGTAATCTATATATGTGAGAAAACATTTTTCGAAAATATTATGTTTTTCTTATATTGACCGAGATCCTTACCAATATACGGAGGTATTATTTGATGCCGGACAAAAATTGTGACAAAAAGAAATCGTATGATGCGGGTAAAAAAATGAATATGATGCATACTCGACTCTAAACTAAAAGTACCTAACGATATACAGTGTGTTTGCCTAGGATCTTGATTTTCTTTTTAAAAAAATATTTTGTTATGTTTTTTATTTAAATAAACTCTCTATAGCTTTTGAAAATTTCTAATTTGAAGATACATCTTATAAAACGGAAATTACTTGTATAAATATAAAATTAACACTCGCATAATCAAACGATTAATAATCATGAAATTGACAGAATGATTTATAA